GCATAAACTTGTATGCCACATCTACTGCAGTAAACGGGTGCTTCAAGGCTATGAAATGGCCATATTTTCTCAGTCTATCAATTACCACCATCACCACGTTGACCCCTTGAGAAGTTGGTAAGCCCTCGACAAAATCCATGGAAATATCTTCCCAAATTTTCTCTGGAATCGGCAAAGGTTGCAACAAACCAGCTGGTGACAGAGTCGAGTACTTATGCGTTTGGCAAATCCCACATTCCGCAATATAACGTTGCACCTGTTTGGACAATCCTTCCCAATGAAACATCCGTTGAATACGCTTGACTGTCTTTAAAACTCTGGAATGTTCTCCTGCTTGACCATCATGACATTCATGTAAAATAAGCGGTTTAAACGGCGATGACTTTAGAATCACCAAACGCCTTTTGTACCACAGTCTGCCATCAATAATGTTGTAGTGTGGATTCTCATCTCCTCCTTTTTATACCTTCTGTATCATATCTTGTATTTCTCTGTTCTCAGCAATTTCTTTATACAGCTCCTCTAACTGAATCACCGACGGTATTGTCACTGCCATTAATAAGACTGTCAACTCGCTGAACCTCTGTGACTCAATACGTGATAGTCCATCTGCTGCTTGATTTTCTTTCCCTGGCTTGTACACAATCTCAAAATAAAATCCCAACAACCTTGTTAGCCAACGCTAATATTCCATATTCACTTCCTTATGCTCTAACAAGTATTTGAGGCAATGCTGATCTGTATGCACCACAAACTTACGTCCAAGTAAGTAATGTTTCCATTTCAAAACCGCCATTACTACTGCCATCAGTTCTCTCTCATATGCCGGTTTCAGCTGTTCACGAGATGTCAAACCATGACTGATAAACGCAATTGGTCTCTTCTCTTGCATCAACACTGCTCCCACACCAAAACCTGATGCGTCTGATTCAATGATAAACTGTTTATCGAAATCTGGAAGGGCTAAAACTGGTGATGTCATCATCGCTTGCTTCAAAGTCAGGAATGCTTCTTGTGCTTTGTCAGACCACTGAAACTTGTCCTTCTTCAACATCTCTGTCAACGGACGAGCTATTGAACCACACCCTCAAACATATTTTCTGTAGTATCCCGTCAATCCCAAGAATCCACGAAGCTGTTTCACTGTCTTCGGTGTTGGCCACTCTTTCATTGGTGCTATCTTTGATGAATCAGTAGCTATGCCCTCCTGAGAGATAATGTGGGCTAGATATTTGCCCTGATGTAAGCCAAATAAGCACTTCTTCTTGTTGGCTAATAGCTTTTGTTCAGTGAAAACTTGAAGAACTACACGCAAATGTTCAACATGTTCTTCCAGTGATCTGCTATAGACCAACACATCATCAAAGAACACCAAGATAAACTTCCTAAGGAAAGGCTTGAAAATCTTGTTCATTAAGGCTTGAAAAGTGGCTGGGGCATTTGCTAACCCACATGGCATCACTAGGAATTCGTAATGACCCTCCACTGTTCTGAAAGCTGTTTTCATAATTTCTTTCTTCTCCATTCTAATCTGATGGTAACCAGATCGTAAATCAAGTTTGGAGAAGATTGCTGCTCCGTATAATTCATCAAGCAACTGATCAATAACTGGAATCGGGAATTTGTCAGGAATGGTTGCTTTGTTTAAAGCTCTATAGTCCACACAAAATCGCCAGGACGAGTCTTTCTTTTTTACTAACAGCACCTGACTGGAAAATGGGCTGGTGCTTGACCTGATTATTCCCGACTCTAGCATCTCATAAACCATCTTTTTCATTACTACTTTCGTAGCGTGTGGGTATCTATATGGTCGGACTGAGATAGTTGTCACCCCAAGAGCTAAATTAATTGCATGTTCTTTACCTCTGTAAGGTGGTAAGCCCGTAGGTAATGCAAAGACCTGTGCAAACTCCTCAAGAAGGTGACTAAGCGATCCCTGAACCATTGGAGATGTCGATGTTACCTCTCTACTAAGAGCTGAAAGCTTTTCTCTTCCTTTCGTCTTAGTAGAAGAGATAGGAGACAAAGATTTCATGGAGAACTTGGAAGTGTGAATGGATGGATCGCCGAGCAGTGTCATACGCTCAGTGCCACACGCTTCCCTTCGTATATAAATGACAGCTCTTGTTTCTTCCAATCCACTTCACATTTGCCTAAACTCTCAAGCCATTGTACCTATAAAATAACATCCACTGCTCCTAGTTCTAGCGCTATGAAATCTGACGTGAAGGTGACATTCGCAAGCATGAAATTCAAAGCGGTACATAATATTGTGCCTTTGACTATTCCACCATTGCCTAAGAGAATGTTGAGACTGGGATCTTCACATACTTTCAGCTTCAGTCTCTTTACCACTTTTGGTGTGATAAAATTGTGTAAGGCTCCACTATCCAGCATTACAATCACGTCAGCTTGATTGATTTGGCCATGCAGCTTCGTTTTTTTGGGAGAATGAATCCCAAAGAATGAATTTAATGAGAGTGTTCTGAGTTCTGAGAACGAGTCTTCATATATCTCTTTCCGATCATTGTCCTCGTTTTCATCCAGCACCTCCATCTCTAAGCCATTGATTACTGTTATCATCCTGAGCTCTTTCTTTGGGCAAACGTGAGCTCTCGTCCATCCTTTTGCTCGACATTTGAAAAAAATCTTTGTCGTTCCTCATCTTATCCAATTATGCGTCTGTATACACTTGTCTTGGTCTTGGCTCATTCTGCTTGTTCTGATTTTCATGATTCTTGTTCCCCTGAATCTGATGCACTGTCATCTGTCCTGTAGCTCCACTATTTTGATAACCTTTGTTGCCCAAGTACGTTGTCTGACTCCCTTCTCTACGACCCCCATACGACTGTGATCTGTTTAGCCCCCACTGTTTTTTGTTGATAGTCTCAACTTGTGTATCTTCTCGGAACAATTTACAGAAATCACTTGATTCCATTGTTAACACTGCGGCAATATGATTGTCTAATCTTTTTGGTTCTTTCATTTTGATCACCTCTTTCATTTCTCTGTTCGATCCGTTGTAGAAGATCTTTGTCAGATTGTCGTCATCTAATCCCAGTACCAGCTCTAATAACTCCTCAAATTCTGATATGTAATCAGCAATCGAGTCTGTCTGTTTGATTAAGAACAACCTGATCGCTGGATCCTCCTCGATGGATTCCGCGAATCTATTTGCTAATTTCCTCTTGAAATCCTCCCAATTCCTGAAACCTCGTCTGCTCATTTCCCACTTATACAATTTCTTAACTCTGTCTTCAATACTCAAAGCGACCAACTCCAATTTCTCCTCATCATCATACTGATCGATGGCAAAGAACTTTTCACATCTTGAATCCACACATACGGAAGTGGTCCGGAGAACTTAGGCATCTCGATTTTTTGCAGCATACTCTCTCTGTTCGCAAGATTCAATATCCCAGATCAATAACCTAGCAATTGTTCCCGGTTTTGTTCCAGATTAGAGTGTGATACCTGATTTCACGATCGAGTTGTTGTCCCCGGAGCTGTTCGCAGACGACTCTCCTTTTCTCTGTCACGTCCTTCGAATCTCTCGATGAATCATATATCGAATCGAGTTTATCATCCATTTTGGTTCATCTCTGTTCCGTTTCCTCATGCGCCTTATTCAATCTCATGTATCCTCCTTTTAGGAACGCCATATCCATCGATGATTCATGGATCTCTCCATCACCTCCCGAATCGCTTGTGGATGCCATTATCTCTTTCGACATCTGTTTGATTGCTCAATTTCACTCGTCGCCGTCGCCGATCGTGGAATCGCCAATCTCTACTCGCGTTTGATTTGATATTTACACACCGCACCAATGATAGATTTTTAGATCATGTAAAGAAGAAAGATAGAGATGAATGATTTGTATATTGATATATCACGATTACAGAAATGCATAACAAGATCTCATCACGATCTGTTTATCGAGTTCATAACACTCGTATCTCAGCTTGTAAGCTTTGATTTACACTTCTGATTATCCATAATTCCTAACAAACACAATTACACTTCTTTTTATACTTTTTCTCTCGACTAACAAACTCCAGTAACGACCTGCCACCTTAGCTGCCACCTCAGCTTCCCTCATTCGTTCTCATTAGCCACATTCTCCTTCTTCTTTCTATAATACGTCTTATGTAACGTATCACTACTTCAAAGATCCCTTGAACCTGGAACATTGGTCCACTCGATTTGAATTTCAACCTCACCGCTTTCAATCAGGGTTGTGCCTGCCTTAGTAAAAAAGAAGTCTCAACCTACGGCCCCATATTCTAAAAGAAAATTTAAAATATTTTTGTTATACTTAGTAGTATGTATCTTTTAATTGCAAAGTTGTTGCTTTCAGAGTGTTTTTGTTATCCATTCAGCTACTTTACTTCTTGTGATACGTATTCTACCTTGTATCCTGTATCCCACCCTATATACTATTATGTATCATACTTTATATAATTTTCTGTTTAATACAATTCTAGATGAAAAAAAAAAGTATGTATCTTATAATTTTAATTGGTTTAATAGGTTAGTAGGCCCAGCTCAAATATAAGTTATATTTATCTTTAAATCAATAATAATATATAAATATAAAAAGCAAAAATAGAATAACATATTAAAAGCTAAAATTAATTAAAGAGATTAAAATGAATGAATGATTACTAGAAAAATAGTTTGTGTGACTTTTTTTTACTATCGTTTGTCATTTTTTTTTCCAAATTTTCTTAGTGAATTTATCAAAAGTTTGCTATTTTAGTTTGATATATTTTATTGTTGTAAACAGTTTTTAGTTGATTTTTATTATTAAAAACTTTAATTTTTTATTAGTTGAAATTTTTATTATGACCTACGGCATGATCTTGGCACGGTTCTGCTTTCAACATTTCTCAACCCAAGAATCATGTCTCGGACGATCTTTCCGTTGCTGTAGATGATGTTGCTCTCTTCAGACAAGCAATTGTCTCTACTCGGCTTCACACTATGGATCTCGATTCCATCAGAGTTCTTGAAAATCCATTGCTTGAGCCTCAAGAAACGGCTTGATGTCTATTTCCGCATCTCCCATCTTGTCATGCGAGATGAACGTAGCTTTATCATACACTTCCTGTAAGAATATATATATATATATTTTTAAGAAAAAGAAAAACATTCAGAAACTTAATAACTTCTTGAAAAGGCAAAGACTCGTGTTTTAAGAGATGTTGGCAATTTCTCTTGAGTAGAGATTAGAGAGAAGCTTTGAATGTTTTTTATATCATCAACCCCACAAGTAAAACTAAATATTTCACCAAGATCAGGAAGTAACTCACAAGATTCACAGATTCATTAGGATCTTTGATTGCAAGCGTCAATTCATCGTTCCACTTTGGGTTGCAGTTGTTTTCCACACCACGAGTCTTCAGTTTCTGAGGCCAAATCAAGAAAACATCACATCAGAGGTCTCTTAAATCCATTCACACACTCAGATTAGTTTCCAAAATGCCTAACGTTCTGCTTTTTGTTGGTCATGTTGACTTTTAGAAATACAAATCTACCCTATTTCTACTGAGAAATATATGTAGTGGGGCTTTAACAATTCATCTCAGAGTCAGGGGATAAGAGTTTCGATCTTTCAAAACATGAACAAGATGCGATCATCGAAACCAAGAAGATCAAATAAAGTTAGGGAGAAATAGTACATGAGGACCCATGGTTATGATGACGAAAGGGTCGCTGCCAAGAGAATCTCGACTAACAATATTAATCCCTCTTTTAAGTTTTAACTCGGATTCTAAGAAGTCCCACAACATCCTCCTCCTTGAATTTTGTAAGAGAAAAGAATTACGGAGGAATAATCTAGCGGATGGTGTATATCTTGCCTAATTTTCTGACTTTTTCCTCTCTTGTTATTTCTTTTAGCTTGTGTCCTTCTCAAGCATCTTCTGGAGAATCTTTTTATGCTTCGAATCTTTTAAATTACTACTCACTTAATTAGATTAAAAACATGCTACTACAACAAATGAAACTTGAGAAAGTGCTACTTAGCTAATAGTAAACCCTAAAGATTTTGTTAGTCACTTCATTAGCTCTAGTCTTGAGAAGAAGATTGCGTTGAAATAATTAATACGAGAGCTACAAGTAGAAGAGAAGACTCCAAGTTGTTCCCAAAGTTGGGAATGAGGAATACGAGAAGCTATTTGTAGATACAATATTGTGTTCGTTGCAGTCTCTACATGCGCGACCTAAAATCATGGTATCAATTTCTCTTATTATTGAGAAGCTTTTGTAGATATAGCGCTGTACTCTTAATTATCTTTGTTGGATAGCCTTAATTTGGTGCGGAGACACATCATTAAACCAATTCCCACATGTTATACAAAAATCTCACAGTTGTTATCAACAAGTTGGTCTCCTTAACTTACCTAACTCTCTTGTTATATATTCCAACATTCCACAACCACAACTCTCTTGTTTAACAATGATTCTTGCAACTTTTGAAGTATGAGCGAAAAGTCCTAGATGATAAATGATTCGACATAACTTTTTAAATAACATGAGTGTAGGAAACTGTCGAAATTTAAGGAATCAACAAAATCTCACCAGAAAATAAACTTAATTAATCAAACAACCTTTTCATAGTTTGCTCATTCCAATTCCTCTATAAAAGAGGGGCTATGTCCTCTACAAGCACTCATTCACTACTAACTCACTTTCATTCATAAGCACCTTCTATAAAGTAAACTAGATAAGTAACTAATCATCTGGAGAAGAAAAATGGCACAGGCGATGTTGAAGTCTTCTCTAAAAGGAGAGCTTGAGGTGGATGTTAAGATCAAGGCTCCAGCGAAGAAATTCTTTAACATGTTCGCGGTGACACCACAAGCTGTGTCTAAAGCCACTCCTGAAAACATCCAGCGATGTGATGTGCATGAGGGAGAGATGGGCAGAGTTGGCACGATCCTCACCTGGAACTATGTTGGTAAGAAAGACTTTACATAACTATATATAGTTTGCTAGAAGATAGAGGATTTGATTGGTAAGCATCGCGTTTTGGGTGCAGATGGGAAGCAAAAGGTGGCCACGGAGAGGATCGAGGCAGTGGACCCGATGAAGAATATGATTAAGCTCAAAGTAATAGAGGGAGATCTGCTGAAAGAGTTCAAGAGCTTCCTAATCACGATCCAAGTGACCGAGACGAAAGGAGGACATGGAGGTGTGGTGAAATATCGAGCAGAATATGAGAGGATTGATGAGAACGTGGCTCACCCGGAGAGTCTGCTTCGAGTGTGTGTCAAAATGTTCAAAGGCATTGACAGAATGCTCTTGTCTAATGAATAGATGTATCCATCTATCTATTCCTATATCCATCTATCTATTGTTGTATATCCATCTATATGCATCTATCTATACATGCATGTCTAAATAATGTTCTCCTCTATGTAGAGATGTGATATGAAAGTGTGTTATCGGAAATATTTATCTATGTATATCTTTATATTTTTCTGTGTTTTGTAAAAATTGAAAACCACATTTGGCTTATTGTGCGTGACGTGTCTTTTCGATATTTTTTTTTTCTAAATTGCCTAGTCCAAGTCCAACACAAGCTAATATGTATGGATAATCCTTCACAAAGTTGATTCAGTACAAAATATATCACCAATAACTTTATGATAGACATACAATATATACATCTAAAGATGGAGAAAACGTAAATTCGTTTTCGTTTTCTATATATCAACAAAAACCACACAAATATGTATAGATTAACCTTCATAAATTTTATAACTGATTCAGTTTTTTTTTTTTGTCATTTTAAGAAAAATAGAAAAAGACACATGAACTCTGAGTGAACCAACCTACAATGTTATTATTCAAACACAACTACAGATACAGAGAAAATAAAAGTAAGCTCATTTCATACCGTTCAGCAAAATCACACAACTACAAATACGAGTATGCCATCATCGAAACCAAGAAGATCAAATTAAGTTAGGGAGAAAGAGTACCATGAGGACCCATGGTTATGACGATGAAATGGTCGCTGCCAAGATAATCTCGGCTAACCAGATTAATTCCTCTTTTAACTCGGATTCTAAGAAGTCCCTCAAGATCCTCCACGTCTCTTCCCTCAGCCTCTCTGATCTTTTTGTCTTTTTTCTATTCCTTGAATTTTGTAAGAGAAAGCGAACTACGGAAGAAAGCGGATGGTGTATATCTGGCCTAAGTTTCTCCTCTCAACTTTTTCCCTTTAACTTCTGTCCTTCTCAAGCATCTGATCTGGAAGATCTTTTTATGCTTCGGATCTTCTAAATTACTATTCACTTAATTAGACTAAAAACATGCTACTACAACAAATGAAACATGGGAAAGTGCTAGCTAGATGAACCATAGCTAAACGTTACATGCTTTGTATGACTGTATTACCTGAAAGAAATATTACGTATTATTTTGTCACTCATTTTTAACAACTACTATTTGGTGGTATTACTCATCTTAACTGTAAAGAAAACACCGATAGTGCCAAGCACTAGCCCAAGACCGTAATACCCGAGAGATCCGAAAGAAACAAAGACCCTCTAAGTATGAATAATAAGATGAAAGAATACTTAGAGAAAACTTGAAGGAACTTTAGAGAGAATAAGAGAACTTATGAAGAACACTCTTTCTTTATTTGTTCAACTTCTCTTGTTTACAAATGATGGAGTAGTGGGCTATTTATAGGCTCCACTTATTACAAAATATCTTACAAACATTCTCCTAATCTCTAGAATTTTCTACAATAATATTTAGAATTTTAACTACAACATCTAGAATTATCTATAGAATTATCTAGATATTTAACTAATAAAATTCTCTAGAACATTTAAGAAAGATGATGATTTTTAGTGATGTTTCTAGAGATTCTAGAACTTGAGCTTAATTTTGGGCCTAATCTAATAACTAATAATTATTTTATAAACCCAAAATTAAGCTTAACCCAAAATCAAGTTTAACTTCAATATTAACAGTAGCATTCTTAGCTCTAGTCTCTAAAGAAGATTGCGTTGAAATAATACGAGAGCCACAAGCCTACAAGTACAAGATAAGACCCCAAAGTCGGGAATGGGAGATCTTTTTCTATATTCTTCCTACTTTGTAGATACAATGTGTTCGTTGCAGTTTCTACATGCGCAACCTAATAAAAATCATGATATCAATTTCTTTTATTATTTAGAAGTCTTTTGTGCTACTCTTATCTTTGTTGGAGAGCCTTTGGTGCACATACACATCAATGAATCAATCCCCACAATTATAGAGTACAAGAATCTTATAGTTGTTATCAACAAGTTGGTCTGATTCCTTCACTTGCCTAAGGGACCATATATATATTCCAACATTCATAACCACAACTCGCTTGTTTTACAAGGAATCAAAAAATCTCACCAGAAAATAAGCTTAATTGATTAAACCACCTTTTCATAGTTGCTCATTCCAAGTCCTCTATAAAAGGGACTGTATCTGTGCACTAAAGGTACTCATTCACTACTCACTTTCATTCGCACCTTCTATAAAGTAAACTAGAGAAGTAATTAATCATCTGGAGATCAAGAAAATGGCACAAGCGATGTTGAAGTCTTCTCTACAAGGAGAGCTTGAGATAGATGTTGAGATCAAAGCTCCAGCGAAGAAATTCTATAACATGTTCGCGGTAACACCACAAGATCTGCCCAAAGCCACTCCTGAAAACATCCAGCGATGTGATGTGCATGGGGGAGAGATGGGCAGAGTTGGCACTCTCATCACCTGGAACTACGTTCAAGGTAAGCTATTTAACTAATATAGATTGCTAGAGGATAAAAGATTTTATTGGTAAACACCGCTTTTTGGGCGCAGATGGGAAGCCAGTGGTGGTCACGGAGAGGGTCGAGGAAGTGGACCCGATGAAGAATATGATTAAGCTCAGAGTAATAGAAGGAGATCTGCTGAAAGAGTTCAAGAGCTTCGTAGAAACGATCCAAGTGACCGAGAAGAAAGGAGGACCTGGAGGTGTGGTGAAATATCGCGCAGAATATGAGAGGATTGATGAGAACGTGGCTCACCCGGAGAGTCTGCTCCGATTGTGTGTCGAAATATTCAAAGACATTGACGAAATGCTCTTGTTTAACGAATAGTTTCCCGTCGAAAATATATCCCTCTATATTTTCGGGTGTTTTAATATCTTTGTCTTTTGTGTTTTGTATACATATATGTCTCAAAAATGTGCGCTCTCTATATTCGAAGAGATGTGATATGAAAGTGTGTTATCAGAAATACTTATCTATTTTTATGTTTTCCGGAGTTTTGTACGTATACATGTCTCGGTAATGTGATCTGTCTCAAGATTTGGAGTAGAAGATATGCAAGTGTGTAAAATGTCTGGTCTTGCATAGTTCCTGTTAAGTTTTAATTATATCGTCTCGTGGTAACAATGTTGAAAAAATTGGGTTCTTAATATCATGGGCACTAGGACGGTCGCACTCTTCCCCTCCCTAGGCAATACTCATCGTATCATATGTGCTCATAAGCATCGTGAAGGTGGAAGAGAAATTTGATATTCCATGAATAAGGTTTGGTGATGATCCACATGTTCGTGATTTCTACTTATATATCCACCGAAAGAAAAGTTTACAAAATCTCGTCTTGTTGGCGATCATAATCGATATCCACCAGCTCTTTCGAACAAATATATAACAACAGATTATAGTCATAGATGAAAGTTCATCTAAACTAATGTGATATATTGGCCAATAGATTAAGGGATGTATAGCCGTATAGGCCAACAATTAATGTTTGAATAACACAAATTTTGTTATTTCTATATCAATAAAAATCACAAAAGAAATATATGCAAACAAATATTTGTAATGATTTGTATTAAAATAATAATTTTTTATATTATTCATATATGAATTTTTTTTGTAAGAAAATCCAGTGTTGATTATAAAATTCGTAAATAATTTTTAAAACTCAATAATACTATTGAAAATGTAGTTTCAAATCATTTGTTGTTAGAAATAAGCATTAAAGTTAATCGATTTTATGATATTTTTTTTGAAAAAATCTTAGTTAAAAATTACAAATATCTAAATTTCATAATTTTATGTCAGATTACAAAGATCCAAATCATTCCAATAATACCCTCCCTCTCTCCTCCCTCCCCACCTTAATATGTAAGTATAATCTTTCATAAATAAATCTCTGCTATAAATGTCATGGATTTAACCATTTGTACACATTCGTTATTGAATATACCAACCAATATATAATCTTATTATAAAAATAAATCTAAAGATTGAGATAAGGTCTATTCATCTCATATTGTTTAACAAATATGTAGAGATAACGTTTTCATAAATTCTATTCACTGTATATAAATATAACTGATTCAGATTGTTTTCCTGATTAAGAAACATAGAAAAAGACACATGAGTATTGAGTGAACCAACCTACAATTTTATGAAGATGGAAGCTGGACGAGAAATTAATTACAATATTGGATATTCAATGCGACATGATCGTCCAGTTCAATGTAATCCTAGTTTTCCTGCAACGTGTAAACCAAAAGTACCGGTGTCTCCATACTCAAGGATGCGAAGTATCTACAAGATGTAAACGTGTTGGTGATTTTTCAACCAAAAAACGTGTCGGTGGTGGCTGATACCCCCGTTGTTTCTAACAATATTGTAACAAATTATAGATATACAAAAATTGTTTTTTTTTGTAACTAGATATACAAAAATTGTTTCAAAAGTAATGTAACAATATACGAATCACTAATGAATAAAAACTATGTTTTTTCTTGTCTTTAATCCACCTTATATCTGCAGTTAACTGAGAAAATATATCTCCGTCGCAATATATTCGTTTTTGTTAAAGGATTTCTGTCGCAATATATTCTTCAATCTTTTTTATAAGTTTGAAGCAAATCTTTAATAAGACATGCATGCAATATGTATGATATATCATTCAGTCATCATGTTATTTTCAGTCGGGATACTCATGAATCATGAATCATGATAAAACTTAATTTGTATCAACAAAAAAATTTATCATTGGTCAAAAAAAAAAAAGATTTATAAGTAGCTGATTTACATTTTATCTTTTCATAAGAATTGTTAAAAAAAATTATAAGTAATTCAAGAAGAAGAATAATAAAAGTCAGGTTGGCTTATTGGTGTTTTTTTAAATATTTTGGCCCTCTATAACAACCGAAAATTTTGAATTGTCACGTCTGTTTCGCGTTTGCATGCAAGTATTGCAACAGAAGTATATTATACTAATAAATACGCGTTTAATAAGAAGAAAACGCGCGACTCCAAAAACAAAACTGAAACGACAACAGAATACAAAATCCTCAAATTCACAAAATATTAAAATTTCCGAAAAGAACCTTAAGCCCTAACATTTGTAATCTCTGGATTTATAAGCCTACACGCCTCTCCTCAAAATTCACATACATCTGTCTCCTTTATCCTCTTCTTCCTCCTCTCGGCTTTCTTCCTTCTCCTTTTGTTTTTTCCCTCACCGGCAAAATCTCGTCGGGATTTCTCTCTGTAAACCTTTTTTTTTTCCTCCGGTGGCGTTTGTGAATGGTGGAAGTTAGTCCGATCGGCGGTAATTTTAGGCTCTCCCTTTCAATCCAAAGGGCGAGCTTCTTCATCCCTCTGTCTTCAGACTCTGTTTTCGCATTCGGATCTTGCAAAGAAGGCTGGTACCACCGCTGCGTCGGCGTCGACCCGTGAATCTCCTTCCGATTTGTCTTCTCGGAGCCCTAATAATCCACCGATCCAGATCACATTCAATCAATCTGGCATAGATCTATTTTCAATTTTACGCTTAATTTTTTTTTTCTGGGATTTTGCACGTTGATTATTGAGATTCGAGGATGTTGCTGTACAACAAGCAGAAGAAGAGAGAGATCGTCAAGGGAAACCGAATCCTAATCAGCGTCACGTTTCTGGGTAGCGCCGGTCCGATCCGGTTCGTGGCCAACGAAGGAGATCTCGTCGCTTCTGTGATCGACACTGCTCTTAAATGCTACGCTCGAGAAGGCCGGCTTCCGATTCTCGGATCTGATTTCAACGACTTCCTTTTCTATTGCCCCATGATTGGACCTGGAGGTGAGATTTCGTGGGACTTGATAATCTCGGTTTAGCAAAATTCGAATGCTTTGAGTGATTGTTAAAGATTGGGATCCAAATTTGGTTTTTTGATTGTCTTTCTGATCTGGGTTATGGCTTTTGTTGATGTTGCAGCTCTAAGTCCATGGGAAGCAATTGGGTTGCTGGGAGCGAGGAACTTCATGCTGTGTAAGAAACCAGAGGAGAAGAAGGTGGAGGAAGACGATGGAAGATCGAATTTCCCTATTAATGGAGCAAGAAAAAGAGCTGGTGGAAGCTTTAAGGCCTGGATTAACAAATCTTTCAGTCTTAAAGTGACCACTCATTAGGACTTTTTGTATAAGTCTACCTTGAAATTCCAGATTTGGTTTGTGTCTTTGGTTCTTTGATTTCTCGTTTTTGAAAGAATGGTTTTGTTTTCTTATTATGTTCTTTGAAACATGTGTTTTTTTGTTCTTTGATTTCTCATTTTGAAGTTTTGATTTTGTTTCGTATGCTTCAAGGAATAAACAAGTTTCAAGTTCTTAGATTAGAGTTATTTTAGTTTAGTTGGCCTTTGCAATTGGTTAAGCGATGGTAGAAGAAAATAAAGGGTCTGATTAGTATGTCTGAACTGAACTGAATAATATTTTAGCTGAATAATTGTGAAATACTAAAAAGCTATTTTTAGTAGATTAATTATGTTTTATTTTTTTAGTTATATTTTTAACACGTTAGCGGAATCACGTTTCAAAAACATAAAAAAACGTGAAAACGTGATGAATAACATGAATGGTAAAAAATAACAGAATCAAATTTCCAAAACTTGAAAAAGCTGTATACTATTCAAACCCAAAAATTCAGAATTTTTACATGTGAGAAAATTTGTAACTTCGATTTAGGCGCAAATCAAGGACTTGTCGGGGTTACATTTTTCAATTATTATCATCTTGGATATTTTTCGTCTCCAAGAGTATCTTTCTTGGTTAGTGTGAGACGACAGAAATTGAAATAGCAGACTAGGTATTCGAATTTTTAAATTCTTTTCAAGACATCCACTGTTTTTCTATATTATCAGTCTTTACCATACAGACAATTTGTTAATATAACCATATGGAGTAATCTAATCGACTAAAATATTTGATAAAAGAAATTGTTAATTTATGTCTATATCACATAACCATGATGTATCTTAGTTTAAAAGTATCTGGTTTTACTTCTTCTAATACAGACCTACTACTAATAGTTAATAGGATTTAAGAGTTTCATCAAGCTCATGTTTAGTTGTATAAAAGTAAAACTGTTGGCAAAATACAAAGTCGGGATGTGACCTTTACATGTGAATCATATTGGTCGGTAGATGGCGTGGCAAGTCGATCCTTCTTGACTCTTGCAAACTCCATGGGCCATTTAATTCGAATGGGTGAGGTTTTTTTTTTCTTTTTTGGTCTATGCAGAGTTTGTTCTGTTTTACTTTCTATGTCAACGTTGTTTTTCAACGGTTCTTTGGGTTTTTTTACTAGAAGTTCTGGAAATGATTTATGCCTCGACGTCTCATCGAGAAGACACTCCCAAAAAATGACTTTTGAAGGCATTGTTATTCTCATGTTACACTATGTTTTTTCGCCCAAAAAGCTCAATAATATTTCTTGCTCCAAGAGATGAGAGAGTATCATAACAAATATTTTTCATCATGAGCTTAAAGCCTCGAATTCGATAATGGGCTTAAAGCCTCAAATTCGATAATGGGATACACAACCAATAATGGGCCTAAGTTTAAACAATCTGGTTTGTGAAAGCAACTCGGTGAACTCAAACGACTTGGCAAAAACATTTTTCGTTGGAGCTTATTTATTACTCTCATAAAAATTGTTTTTTTTTTCAGAAATAGTTGATAAATTAATTGTATTTTTATTGATTTAAGTGTTTAAGTTTTGTATATTATTTTTTATTGGTTGAATTGTTTTGAAATTGATAATAAAACATGTTTTTTTTTTGGAAAAATATAAAATTAAATAATTTCTTAATTTATGTGTAAAAACTTTAAATATTATATATAAAAAATGGAGGAAGTATCAAATAAAAGAATTGTTGGCAGAAAAAAAAAACTATCTAATTTGAGAGACAAAAATTTCGGTTTCCAACATGCAAACATGTATGTAATCACAAAATCGCAGGCAATGTTATTCTCACGTTACGTTCACGTACTAATAAATCTCTATAAATTAAGTTGTCACAAAACGTAAGTAGTAATGAAGAAAAGACAATTTAACCACCACACATCCACATGCATCTGGTTTTTGTTATTTCGCCGTTTAATTTCGTTGACTTTATGAGAAAGTTCTTGTTTTGACTCTCGTGATATTATTGCACGAACCACCACCACCGGCACCACTTTCCATTTTTCTCTCTATCGTGACAAGCCATTTCGAAAAATAATAATTCAAAATATCGACTCTTTATATTATGCTTTATGCATTATATCATATTTTTGGCGGGGTCAAAATGTTAACGATGGATTTGATCGGTTAATTAGCATTCGTCACTCGGGGGTTTTTCATAAGAAAAAACTTCTAGCTGGATCATTGTAATCTTTTACACATTGAAAGCTTTAAGTTTCTAGATCTGGCTATGGGCAAAAACAGGTGGTATTAAATGATATGTAAAGACATTAATTTACTAAATGCTAACATCAATAGGACTCATTGACAAATACTCTATAGAAACTATTTTTATTCCTCTTGACTTTTTCTAATTTGTTTTTTGCTTTTCTTAGCAAAATATGAAAATTTATATGTCTAATTTAATTCCGTTCGCAGTGCCAGTTGGTGTGAACCAAAACTTTGAGCAAACATAATTTGTTAGAAGATTGGAAAATTCAATAGTAATCCATTAAAAAAAAACAGAATACGAACGGAAATTGTAGGTTTGAATATATAAATCGTCCCATAAAATTTTAATCAACATGATACAGAGTATATTCGGTTAAATGGTGAAATCATTTGTGAATCGTTTGTTGTGACTTTTGATTCTATGCACTGTTGATATTACATACAGTTATATTAAAATAATATATACAATAAATCGATAATTTATATGATAGTATATAATAGTAATAAACAATCCCTCATAATAATGCAATTAACTATACAAATAATTAATTAATATGTAGCAATTAGTAATATTAAAATAAAATGTCAAAAAAACATTTTAAAAACCGGAGATATCCTAATTTTTTATATATAAAATTTCAAAAGAAAATAAGATATTTGTTAAAGAAATAAATCTAAAAACGTTGACTAAAAAAATGTACTGAAAAATTAGTAAATAAATCACTTTATATAAGTAAAAACTTAGTTATATACTTGCCAATGCGAATTTTCAAATTCAATCAAACTAAAAAAATACATTTTATAAAATATAAATCATCCAAAAAAAGGAAGGCCATTTGATAAAAATATAAAATATAAACCATCCAAAAATAAAGAAGGCCATTTGATAAAAATAATCCACCTCTAATCTCACCTATTTATATACCGCTCCGTCCGGTCATCCCGTCTTCTCCTTGTCGTCGTCGTCTTTTTATTCTGTTTCTCTTTCTTCTCGCCGGAGAGAATTTTCGTAAGAACCAAAAAGTTAAAAACAGAACCTTTTTTAATTTATTTCGAAAGCTCAAGCGGAAAATGGATCAGATCGAATCTGCGGAGTACAATGGCTTCGAGACCGCCAACGGAAACTCACACAACGACCATGGCTGGAAGAAGGTAGTGTACCCGCGACGCAATCGGAAGCAGAAACCGGCGGATCAGGCGGCGAATGGCACCTCCGGAAACCTGGCTCCCAATGGAGCTTTAGCGAACGGAGACAACGTCTTCCGTTCCCTCGAGGAGCAGGCCGGAGATCGCCATCGACGGATCCTCGCTGCGAAGAAGGCTGCCGATGCATCGGACGGTTCCGATCTGACGAGATCTAAACACCGATCCAACGGTTACGGCGATGAGGGGTATGATTTCGACGATAGCGACACTGAGATCGCGGCGGGGAAGGAGAATTTGAAGGCGGAGGCAGCTAAAAAGCCCAAGGCTAAGAAGGAGAAGAAGCCTAAGGTGACGTTAGCAGAAGCTGCTTCTAAAATCGACGAATCAAATCTCGCAGCTTTCCTCGTCGAAGCTTCGGTATGTGCATGGAATGTAACATTTGTGATCCGATCCGAAAATTCTGATCTCTCTAAATTGCTAATGAAACAAAAATCGAATTTTGTAATAATAACAGGAATCATATGCGAGCCAGCCAGATATTCAGCTAATGAGATATGCTGATTACTTTGGGAGAGCTCTCTCTGGAGTGTCATCAGCTCATTTTCCATGGGTCAAAACGTTCAAGGAGTCTCCTTTGTCGAAGCTGGTCGATGTGAGCAATCTCTCTTTCGATCTTTCAGCTCGTTAAAAATGCAATCTTTCGTCATTGTGTTCTTTTTGTTTTTCCTTGGGAGCTGAAATTTAACATCTTTATACAGATTCCGCTCTCTCAGATTCCTGAGGCTGTTTATAAAACATCAACCGATTGGCTCCACCAACGTCCCATTGAGGCGCTTGGAGCATTTGTATTGTGGGCTTTGGATTCCATTCTTGCAGACTTTGCTGTACAACAAGGAAGCGCCAAGGGTGGTAAGAAGGGCGGCGCACAACACGCCACTTCGAAATCTCAGGTACTGTGGTAGCTCGAACGTTATCGTCTTGTTGGTCGCTGAGTAGTACTAGGTGTTGTGGATGCATATTGTATCGTCTTGTTGGTCTGAATTATATACCACTGAACGTATCATCAATCACTCGTGAATAGGTTGCAATATTTGTGACGGTAGCAATGGTGTTGCGCAAGAAACCTGATGCTCTAACCAATATATTGCCGACTTTGAGGGAGAATCCCAAGTATCAAGGACAGGACAAGCTTCCAGTTTTTGTTTGGATGATGGCTCAGGTATGTGCAGTTTCAAGATTACCTAAACGTGTGTGTTTGTGTTTCTTTGTTTTTTAATCGCAATCTCTTAAACTGGTTACTATGGCACAGGCCTCCCAAGGTGACCTATCAGTAGGTTTGTACTCGTGGGCGCACAACTTGTTACCTGTGGTCAGTAGCAAGAGCTGCAATCCTCAGTCAAGGGATCTCATCCTTCAGTTGGTTGAGAGGTGAGTTAAAATTAGCAATACGATGTCTCGTTTATGTGTGATGATTTTCTAATCCTTATTGTTGTGTAATTCTTTCAGAATCTTGTCCAACCCAAAGGCAAGGACCATACTTGTAAATGGGGCTGTTAGGAAGGGAGAGCGATTGATTCCGCCTCCTTCATTTGAGCTCTTGGTTCGACTTACATTCCCTACATCATCCGCAAGGGTGAAGGTAAAGTAATATTGGGATTTTTTCGAAACAATCTTTTGGTGAATGAGGGTTGGTTTTTGATCTCTAGTATGGTTTGAAGCGCAGGCTACAGAGAGGTTTGAGGCCATATATCCTGTGTTGAAGGAGGTGTCTCTTGCTGGTGTACCTGGGAGTAAGGCAATGAAGCAAGCCACACAGCAAATATTCACTTTTGCTCTGAAAGCAACCGGTGAAGGTATGAAACCACCTTTGTCTCTAACTTTCTACCTACTTGTCCTTTAGAAGACGGTGAGATTAAAATGTGTGATATGTGCTGGTACAGGAAATCCCATATTAGCCAAGGAAGCGGCTGCAATCGCTATCTGGGCTCTCACCCAAAACGTTGATTGCTGCAAGCACTGGGTATGATTCACACTTTTCTTTCTCCCCAACATATGAGCTATTTGCGACCGGATCTTTTTGCTTATTTGTGGGCCGGGTCAACAGGAGAATCTCTATAACGACAATCTGGAAGCCAGTGTCACTGTTCTTAAAAAGCTCATAGACGAGTGGAAGGAGCGTGCGGTGAAGCTGTCTCCTGCTGAAACCCTCACTCTCAATCGAGCAATGAAGAGCTTGAGGCTAAAGGTTTCATACTGATGTTCCATCTTTTATGTCTCTCTGCTGATGATTCCCTGTTAATATCGATTCTGATCAAATGATGTTGTATGAAAAAACTACAGAACGAGGAAGCTCTTGCTGATGGAGGAGCAAGTGGTGCAAGCCAGGCTCTTTACAAAGATGCAGACAAATGCTGCAAGGTGATCTCTGGGAAACTCTCCAGCGGCAGTGGCTGCATCAAAGGCATAGCTTTCGTTGCAGTTCTGGCTGCTGCTGGTGCTGCTGTTCTGTCTGCCAACCCCGAGGCTGTAGCTGAGCTGAAGAACCAGGTGGAGTCGTGGGACCTCAACAAATTCACCGAGTCAGTAATGGCAGCTTTTAAGAACTAAAGTGGAAACATGTGGGGGGGACGATAAGCAAAGAGAAAGTAAGTCTCCTTATCGTCGGTGTAGAGAAATGTTTGAAAAGCTGCCTTTTTTATGCTCTCTGATGACAGTTTTGAAACCTGACCAGACTTAGGGGAGGTTAGGGTGATGAGTGAGAAGAGGTGTGTGTCTTATAATCTCATATTTGGGGGAGTTTTTGTTCAAACAAAGCTCCACAAGTTGTAGAAGGTGTTGAGAGAATGTTGTTTCTAATTTAAGATACTGGCGGTTTTTATGTTCTGTGTTTTTTTTTTCTTTTCTCCTTTCCGGGAACAATAAAGTTATATTTCATTTTACTCTTATGTTAAGCTGGTGATACTCATGGAATATGGATAACATAGTCGCCGTTTTTTCTTCAGCAACGTAATAGCTCTGTTGTTTCATCCACATCTACATGCCACATTGTATAATTTTCTGTGATCTGCAAATTGGTGCTTGAGAAATGTTCTCGAGCTTGGAGTCTCTGTTTTTTCACCACGAAATTGAGAAGCCGATCCCACCAAAGTAAAACAGGCCAAAGCTCATCAAAGGCATTAACAAGTGTGAAGCTGTAACTTTAATCGGAAATCAGAAAATCTCATTCTCATGATCATATTAATATGAAGTTGCGTTCCAAACCATCTTATGCTCAGAACTCAGACCAATCATGATTTATGATGATTTGGCTTCATAATCCTGAGTGTCATCATCATATCGCAAATGATTCAGTCTCATTCCAAATTTTCCGGCTTCATATCGAACTTTCTATAAGCCGTAAGAACCAGTGAGGTTGGCAGGTTACACACTGTTTTATCTCTTTGCTGTAAAAAAGATGAAACTTTTTGGCCAGGATTAAGAGAGAAACAACATAAAAAACAATTTGTTTGCCGTTTGCCTAAACATCGACTATTTGTCTGAGTTTATCACTTAACGAACACTGTAGGTCTCCGTTTGAGTTGGTTCGCTTCTTCTCCATGTCACTCTCCACAGTAGCTTCCGGCGTCGGCGTTCTCGAGCTCCCTTGTTTCCGTCTGTCGCCAATCTCGAATACCCAAATCCAGTTTCTCTCTGTCGAAGCCAGAAACCAACCTCGAACTAGAAGAAGACGCGACCTTTCCTTCATCCCATTTCCGATACTTATCCACTCGAATCATCGCCTTCGCCATGGTTTCTCCGATCCCAATTCGAGTTTTGATCGTGCCCACTGCGTTGGAGAACCAGGAAACTCTGATACCTCAGAAAAAAGTTCCGTCGCTTCTGTAAGTCCCTCTTATTGACCTCTGATTTTGCAGTTCGATTATAGCTTAAAGGTTAATGCTTTTGATGTCTCTTTGTTTGTTGGCGTGTAAGCTTAGTTTCAGGATGGTAAAGAAGTGAAGGGTGAAAGCTCTTCGGGTGTTGGTGATAGCTATGTGGCCTTGTTTGTGCGAATGCTCGGTTTAGACAACGACCCTCTTGACAGAGAACAGGCCGTAGAAGCGCTATGGAAGTACTCTTTAGGTGGAAAGAAATGCGTCGATGCGATTATGCAGTTTCATGGTTGTTTAAGTCTCATTGTCAATCTCCTCAAGTCAGAGTCCAGCTCCACATGTGAAGCTGCCGCGGGGCTAATACGGTCTATAGCCTCCGTGAATCTGTACAGAGAATCGGTTGCTGAGAGTGGAGCTTTGGAAGAGATAACCGCTTTATTGAGCAGGCCTTCGTTAGCTACAGTGGTATGAAGGATTTATGAATCCCAAAAGGAGTCTACTTTTGAATTTATGAAGGTATGATTGTTTGGATAGTTTTGTTATTACAGGTGAAAGAACAAAGCATATGTGCTCTGTGGAATCTGACAGTGGATGAAGAGATTAGGGAAAAAGTTGCTGACTTTGATATCCTTAGGCTACTCATTAGTTTCCTTGAAGATGATGATGTCAATGTAAAGGAAGCAGCTGGTGGCGTCTTGGCCAATTTAGCACTTAGCCGCTCGAACCATAAGATTATGGTGGAAGTAGGAGTCATACCCAAACTGGTAAAGACCATTTCTTGAACAATGTATTGATCATTAGCTTTTACAATCTATTGAGCTAAGGAGAATGGTAGTATATGTAAAAATACATGTCTATTACCCGGTCATGCTTCAGCTTTGCTTATTTATTACCTTCCCAATTTTGAATCCAGGCAAAGCTGTTGAAAGGCGATAACACAGATAACAAAGGGTCTAAAATCATCAGAAAGGAAGCAAGACACGTGCTTTTGGAGCTCGCCAAAGACGAATACTACAGAATCCTCGTCATTGAGGAAGGTGTTGTACCCATTCCCATAATTGGTGCAGACGCTTACAAGTCATTCAGACCGGATCTGTATTCTTGGCCTAGTTTACCAGACGGTATAAAGATCGAGCAGACAGCAAAAGCTCCTTCCAGGTTTGGTGCCTCTGAGCTGCTCCTCGGTTTGAACGTTGACAAGAACGTTGTTGACGACGTAGACGAAGCCAAAATGAAAGCGATAGTCGGGAGGACGAACCAGCAGTTCCTTGCCCGTATTGGAGCGATTGAGTTCGAGAAGGAAATCAAATCCGAAGGTCCCGCGAAGTCGCAGCAGCAGCAGCTTACTCTTCTTCCCTGTGTAGATGGTGTGGCTCGTTTGGTCTTGATTCTTGGGTTGGCAGACGAATCAGCAGTGTCGAGAGCTGCAGAGTCAATCGCTGATGCATGTATCAATGAGGATATGCGGGTTTCGTTCATGGAAGCTGGAGCTGTAAAGCCTTTGGTTCAGCTTTTAGCCAACAACAACAAAGAGGCTGTTAAGTTACCCGTAATACGTGCCTTGAAAAGTCTATCTCTTAGGTGCTTATATTTTGAGTATTCTCTACTTTGTTAATCTACTAAACAGTTTCTTCTCCGAGGTTGTGATTGTTTTCTAATTGATAATATGCAGCCGCGTCGTGTGTCAGAGGATTGAAGCTGAAGATGCAGTACCGTTTTTTATTAATCTTCTAAAGCAGCCAGAGATCTCACTAAGCATCACGGAAGAGGTCTGGCTTCGTTTTTCGTTCTCCTTCGTTCTTTGATGTAATTTTTCTAGGCTGTGATGGAATAACTGGAGCTTTTGTGAACAATGTTTTGCAGATTCTGGATGTACTTGCTCATATCTTAGATCCTAGCAAGGAAATGGAGTCCAAGGTGTGTTTATTCTATTCTCCTTGTTTTATCATTTTACACTAAAACTGTTCTCATTCGACTCGTAAAACTGTTTTCTTTATACGTTCTCAGTTTTATGAAGGACCAGTGAACGGATCAAAAGCAGTCTCCAGGTCAGTCCTCTTCTCGGTTTTTCATATTTTCAGCTCAGTTTCAAATACTCAATATCTGGTGGAATGAACAGGAAGGAAGTTTTGGACGCTACTGTTATATCTCGGCTCGTCCAGATTGCGAAAACAGCCTCTCATAACCTGCTAAGAAAGACAATCTCCGTCATCGAGTTTGCTACGGTCATTAATCCAAACATGGACACCATCATCTCCGAGGATATCACAACTGTTCTGGAGGTTGCTCTCCGTCAGAAAGTCCTGGAAGGTTACAAGACTTGTCTCTGTAGATAAATACTCATAAAGTTGTTTGAATTCATACAAATGGGGTTTCTCTTATAATTCATGACAACATAAGAGACTTTTTTTTTTGAAAATGCAGAACCAGAGAACGAAGCTGAGTTAGAGAAACATCTGCTTCAGCTAGAAGAAGCTGGTTTGACAATTTCAGCTGGTTCAAGGCTACTGACAAAACTTCTCGACTCTGAGTCTTTCCGCAAAACTATGGATACGACGCTCTTCACAGAGATACTCAGGAAGATCCTAAAATCATCAAGCCTCCCTCTACATTACAAAGACTGGGTCGCCTCTTGTCTAGTCAAACTCACGTCTCTCTCTTCTCCTTCCCAATCCCTCAACAACAATCCAATCAACGTAGAGGTATGTGCGTTAGTGTATGAATCCTAGAAAACTCAAAACCAAGTTTTTTTGAATCATCCTCTGTTGCTTTTTATGTCAAAAGGTAACTCTCTACAAGACAATCCCAAGACTTGTGGAACAGTTGAGCTTTTCCTCGACTCCGGAAACGAAAGAAGCAGCGGTTTTGGAACTGAACAAGATAGTCTCAGAGGGAGTGCCAGAGTCAACGCAAGCTCTTGCTTCAAATGGAGGGATCGAGCCGCTGGTGAAGCTTCTAGAAGAAAGGAACGAGAGATGTGTTGAGGCGAGTTTGTCAGTATTGTATAACCTGAGCATGGACAGTGAGAACCACACTGCCATTATAAGAGCAGGAGCTGTGCCTGTGTTGAGACGGATCGTTATGTCTCAGAGACCACAGTGGAAGAAAGCTCTTCGGCTACTCAGAGACTTACCCGTTTGAGAGAAAAGTTGTGTGTTCTTGGTGGTACTTCAAACTTTTTCAAGATTTGCGAATAATATAGTTTTCTGCAGATTGTAGTAGTATGTGTAAATGTTGGAATCAGTTCGAAAGACTATATAGTAGTATTATTGTCACGTGGGTCGAATATACGAAAAACAGATCCTTTGTTACATTAAAATAATCGGATTACGTAGCACGTAATATAAGTATATATCACTATATTCTGCGGATCCATCAAATATTTACTCTTTACGCAAGCAAGTAGATAAAAAAATGCATGTTGTTAGATCGAAAAAATCAATGGCTGAGATTTTCTTACTGCTGTTTATGTTAAAAAGGGTAAAAAAAAAAACACGAGAGAAACGTTCTTCTTCACATACTTTTGGCAAAAGGTGAAAAACCGACGAGCCACACGTGTCGCGGTCTCGTTTAGCTTAAGCAACTTCTTTGCGTCGATTATACTCTCTCTCTCTCTCTCTGTCAAAACAGCTTTTATATCATCACTCTCCTCTCTTTCTCTGTGCATCCAATTCTGATCTTCTTCTCGTCAAGGCGGATATGGTTTTCAAGGTTTCTCTCGTCTCTACATCTCCTATTGATGGCCAGAAACCTGGAACTTCTGGTCTCCGTAAGAAGGTTCGTCGATCCATCTCCTTCTTCTGAATCGAGCTGAATTGAGCTGAATCGATCTGGATCCGATCTTTTTAGGTTCTCATGACTTGAATTCAACTGAGATTAACAATCTGTTCGGATTAGATTTGGATTTGATCTATGCATTGATCCATATGATTACGCAGATAGCTGAATGATGACAATTTTGCGTAAATCTTCTCTCATTTTCGTCTTTGGATCCGAGATCAACTTCTAGATCAATTTTTTTATCTTCGATTTGAGTTATATATTTGGGACGCTGTGAATGTTTAACCTGATGCAACTCTATACACATAGAGCTTGACATTACGTATTTGGATTGATGTGGAGAAATGGAGACTATATGGATTGGATTTGTGTATTATCGTGTCTCTTGAAAGTTGAAACTAGAGAAAAGCTGAGCCTTCTTTTGCTATTCCATTTCAGATTTTTTATTTTCCATTAATTTTCGAGTATAAATGATCTTTGGATGGATAAGCAAATCATATGTGAGGGTCAATGACGTTTATTGAGACTCACTGTTCATTAATGTCGGATCTCTTTCAAATATGCGAAATCGCAAACTAATTTGATAGAAAAAAAGTTTGGGTTTTTCGTTTTATCCTAATAGATCCAGTGTCCATTGTTTGGTCTACTCTCTGCAGTCATAAAACTATTATCTCTGATTGGTATTGTGGTTTGTCTAACTGTGTAGGTGAAAGTGTTCAAGCAACCCAATTACCTAGAGAATTTTGTCCAAGCAACATTTAATGCTCTTACACCGGAGAAAGTCAAAGGTGAGTTTTGTCTTGCTCATCTTGGTTGCTGTTTGTGTGAATGCTTGTGGGATAACAGTTCTTAGGCAGACGTCTGCTCATTCCATAAATTCATGAGTATTTTGTTCGTCTGTGCAGGTGCCACACTCGTGGTCTCTGGTGATGGCCGTTATTACTCAACGGATGCTGTTCAGGTAAAACCAATGTGGTTCTTTGTCTTCTTAATCTGGCTGAATGTAATCGGTGTGTTCAATACTTGGCATACAATTATAAATTAATATGCTCATGTAATTTACAATACTTTTGAATGAACTCTTGTGTCATGTAACATATTTACCTTTGTGTCTATCTCTAATATTTGCATTAAAACAGCTATAGAGAGATATTTGAGGTTATTATAGACTAAGAAGGTTTTGTTTGTCTTTGAAGATGATCTCTAAAACTTGCGTGCAAGTTTCTTTGGCTAAGTTTGTTTGACCTGCTCTTGTTACATATCTGGTGCCTGCTATTTCATGACGATGAGGCTTTCCAGCTTTTCATACGATTTTATTTTCTATTTTGACAGATCATAATTAAGATGGCAGCAGCTAATGGTGTACGACGTGTGTGGGTTGGTAAAAACACTCTGTTATCAACTCCTGCTGTATCAGCTGTGATTCGTGAAAGATCAGGACCTGATGTGAGATCTCTATCTCTAAGCTCATCGTTGTAGTGATATTTGAATTTGTTTTTGTTGGTTCTTCTTTATGTTCCTGCAAACTGTAATGAGAGACTTACCCCAGTCTCTGGTTACAGGGATCGAAAGCAACCGGAGCATTTATCTTAACAGCAAGTCACAATCCTGGTGGCCCTACTGAGGTCCGTTCTGTTCTTTATCTATCGTGCGCTGTCCCTTTTTGTTTAACTGCTTGTTTTTGTATGCGTCTGTTGTTTCATAGTAGTGAATTATATAAATCTAACTCGATAAGACTAAGAGTTGATTCCAAAATGATTCCCTGCCTCTTATACAGGATTTTGGAATCAAATACAATATGGAAAACGGAGGACCTGCTCCTGAATCAATCACTGACAAGATTTACGAGAACACTAAGACAATCAAGGAGTACCCAATAGCAAAAGATCTACCCAATGTATCTAAACATTCTAAAGAATCCTCTTATTTCACATCATATTGTCCATTCTCTGTATTTTTTTTAATCAAAGTTGATCTGGTCTCTGTGATTAAATGCAACAGGTTGATATTTCTACCGTTGGTGTGACCAGTTTTGAAGGACCTGATGGAAAATTTGATGTTGAAGTTTTTGATTCAGCAGATGACTACGTTAAATTAATGAAGTGAGCTCCCTCAATTTAAGAGCATGATTCCAGAATCTGCTCCCTTTATGATCTATCTGCAATCTCTTGGTTTTTCTAAATATATTTCTTGCTCCTTCAAGGTCAATCTTCGACTTTGAATCCATCCGGAAGTTGCTTTCGTCTCCAAAGTTTACATTCTGGTATGTAGATTACATTGACTCCGATTCCGATTCCCTAACCTTTTCCTCTTGAGTTAAGTTTTGTAATACTTGTTCGCTTTAACGTTATCTCTTACTCTGTTCTATGAAGCTATGATGCATTGCATGGAGTTGCTGGAGCCTATGCACATCGCATCTTTGTCGAAGAACTCGGTGCGCAAGAAAGTGCGTTATTGAACTGCGTACCCAAGGTCTTATTATTTTTTAACCAAGAAATACCATTCCTTAAATTATTAAAATACACCTCCAGCCTCACTATCTACCACAATACAACATTTTTGTAGGAGGACTTTGGAGGAGGTCATCCGGATCCCAATCTGACCTATGCTAAGGAGCTTGTGGCACGAATGGGATTAGGCAAATCGAACACCGGAGGTGAACCTCCAGAGTTTGGCGCCGCTGCTGATGGTGATGCAGACCGTAACATGATCCTTGGTAAAAGGTAGCTTACTAATGTTCTTTTAAGTGAGATGCATACATGGAACTGGTGTACGAAGTACTTTCAAACTTAAATGGATCTCTTCTTTTATAGGTTCTTTGTAACTCCTTCGGATTCAGTTGCCATAATTGCTGCAAATGCTATTGGAGCCATACCATACTTCAGCTCTGGTTTGAAAGGTGTTGCAAGGTATACACTCGGTCTCTTTCTCTACATTTTCTAGCAGAACTTACAAAATCCAAATTCTGTGTATAACCGCTCTTTTGATATATTTTTTAACTTCGACTTTCTTTATTTTAGGAGCATGCCTACCTCAGCTGCTCTTGATGTCGTTGCAAAAAGCTTGAATTTGAAGTTTTTTGAGGTACGTGTCAAGCAATTTCTATTCAGCTTATTTTCTTCCCAACTCCACAAAAGTATTTAACATCTCTAATAAAAATCACATATCAGGTTCCAACAGGCTGGAAGTTTTTTGGTAATCTGATGGATGCCGGGATGTGTTCTGTTTGTGGGGAAGAAAGCTTTGGAACTGGTGAGTTTCTATATCCACACTCAGGCACACATCTATAAATAACTTAGAAACAACTTGTAGGATTCTGAAAGAAAGATCTTTCACAGGTTCTGATCATATCCGCGAGAAAGACGGGATTTGGGCAGTTCTTGCGTGGATGTCCATACTTGCTCACAAGAACAAGGACAACCTTGACGGTAACGCTAAACTGGTGACGGTTGAAGACATTGTCCGCCAGCATTGGGCTACCTACGGCCGTCATTATTACACTCGTTATGACTATGAGGTAAAAAGTTGCTAAGCTTGGCGATTGTATTATACCTTGTTTATGCGGAACAAACAGAACCCTTTGTGATATCTTAAAAATTCTGTCTCCAAAAGAATGTAGACGCAGGTAAAGCTAAGGAACTGATGGAACATTTGGTCAAACTGCAATCTTCAATCCCTGAAGTCAACAAGTACACACACACTTCCACTTCTCTGAAATCCATTCCTTTTCTGCTTTGTTTAGTTTGGTACTCTGTTTCCCTAAACCTCTTTCTCTCTCGGTTTTATTCAGGATCATAAAAGGAATTCGTTCGGACGTGGCGAATGTGTCCAGTGCCGATGAATTCGAGTACAAAGATCCAGTTGATGGCTCCATCTCCAAGCACCAGGGAATCCGTTACTTGTTTGAAGACGGATCACGACTTGTAAGTCCCATCTTTTTTCTTCTGTTTTGAGCCTCTATGCATATCAGTATCAGCTGGAACAAAGTGATAGCTTAACATATTGGAAAATCAAAACGAATTTAATCCTCTCCTGTGCTATCTGTTCTATCTAAAACCATATATGAAGGTGTTCCGTCTCTCTGGAACTGGCTCGGAAGGAGCAACGATCCGACTCTACATTGAACAGTACGAGAAGGATGCTTCGAAAACCGGACGAGAGTCTCAGGATGCTCTGTCTCCTCTGGTCAGATGTTTAAGAAAACCCTTCAAAACCCATTAAATTATTTTAACTAATATATACCAAAAGGGTATGTTCTCATCGAATGAGGAAATTGTTGTTGTTGATGATGTGTGATTCACAGGTTGACTTAGCTCTGAAGCTGTCCAAGATGGTGGAGTTCACTGGTCGATCATCCCCCACCGTCATAACATAAGAACGCGGTCAAGCTCGACGATCTCAAATCATATACTTTTGTTTTTTGGTCTGCGTCTATACTTTCTTCTTATTATATGAATAAATTTAGTCTCAGGGAGACTTTGTATTTCTTGTCGGAATTTTGAACAAACCTGGCCGATTTCCTGAGTTTTGGTGAACATTATTATACTTGTAAGAATTTGAATTTTCTTGGTTTTGTTATCTATTGTTTCCGTCTGTTACATGAATAAGATTTGTTTATCAAAGTTCTTATAAGTACCGAGTTTGCAAGTTTTGATTTCTTAACATCGATCTTCATTTGATACCTTAATAATGAGGTTGGGATTTGCTTAGCTTTTAAAAATAGCTGAATCGTGCGTGCTACGTATATATTGACCAAATCTTACAATTTTCGGGTAAATACAAAATGTTGGTGCACCCACGAAGTATATACATAAGTTTGTGTAAATACAAGCATTTGGTGCAACCAGGAAGAATACATAATTTTGTGTAAATACAAAAAAATTGGTGCAACCAGGAAGAATACGTAGTTACATACGACACAATCTGTTTTTTTTTTACAGCAACATACGACACAATCTAAAATCGGGTAACTCGACTTTGACTGAAGTTGGATATTTGATATTGCATATGCATGGCATGATTTTAGTTATATCATAATCAGTGGATAGAAACCAGTATCTGTTTTCATTTAAAAGTAAGGAGAGACGTCGATCATGAAATCGAAAGGGAGTAAAGGATTTGAAAGAGTAAATGAAAAAAAGAAGGCGAATCCCTTCAATATATTTGAAGTAAATATAGAAATTTGGAAGAGTAATTGAAAAAGAAGGCGAATCCTTCAAAATATATTTGAGTTGCTTTCGTATTGAATATAAGAAAATAGGAAGCAGCTGAATAAGGAAACTCAAATATTGGTAGAGTCGTACACAACCCGAATTCTCATACCGGACCTTCCATATTTAGAATGCAGCTCCATTCACCTTTCGACTCCACTGAAAAGACACTATCCTTTATTTCTCTTTCTTACGCTTTCTATCTCTTTCTCTTTTTATTTAGTATCAAATATATATTATGGAACTATCGAATATTTCAGCTCCAAATTACTGATGTGAAATAATTGAGTGGTCGTCTCTGTCGATGTGTGTATGATGCACTCACACACATACACATGAAAAAAAAAAAAAAAAAAAGACTACAATCGTATAATTTGTAATATGCTTCACTTTGAAAACGAAACATAGTGACCATATATACAGCACATTAAAATAATTTGATATTGTTTGTTCTCTTTGAAAAGTTCAATAGATTCTTCACGAAAAAAGCTATGCATATGAGAAAAGCTAGCTAGTGAGAGAGTTAGCATAATTTGTTGATATGTCGAAAAACACCAAAACTCATCTAACTAATTAACACTACCACTACCCGCACTACTGCATGTCTATCACACTCGTAACACAAAATAAGAAAAACAAAGCCTATTGTCTCAAAGCCGCTTATGAATCAAAGACGAAGTGGTTTTATTCGATTTCTACGTAACAAACACTTCGAACCGATTGAAAACAAACTCCCCACTACCAATCCCAATAGTATTTGCCCGATCTATCATCAAATCTATACAGTATATTGTTGACAAAAAAAAGGTTATCAATCTTCCGTCACAAGTCTATAAGTAGACACAAATTTAATATATTATGAATTCATCAGATTTGTGTAACTCACCATCACTAATTCACTATAGGTTTCAATGGTACCCAGCTTTTTCAAATTTTCAAAACTTAATTCTGTTATTTTTTACCATTCATGTTATTCATCATGTTTTTACATTCTTTATATTTTTTAAACATAATTCCGCTAGCATGTTAAATATATAACTAGAAAAAAACAAAACATAGTTAATTTACAAAAAAAATAACTTTTCAACGTTTTACAATTATTCAGTCAAAATCTTATTCAGTTCAGTTCGTCCTACTAGTAATTTTTCAGTTATTTCATTATTCTATTATTCATTAGTAATTTTTCAGTTATTTCATTATTCTATTATTCATTTGATATACCATTTAGACTCTATATTATTATCAAACTATCGGCATATATAGTATAACATAATTAGATATGCAATATGACATGCTCATAGGATGATAGTTGCTATTAGAATCATCAATAATTTCCACGCATATGATATAGAATTTTGAGTTTTCAAAATCTTTTAAACTGAGTAAAAGGCATTTCATTGACTGTAGATATTTTTTCTTACGGAAATATATGCAGTATTCAACTACTAAAATATAGGTTACATTCGTGTTTTTTTTTTTTTTTTGCTATTGTCAACAATGTATGTTAGAATTAAAAACTAGTTGTATGACTTCCATACCTTTGTTTTTTTGGGGTTAAACTCATGATAATTATATGATTTAGCTACGTGACAGAAAAGTGTAGATCAAAATGTCGTTTTTATAGACCTAAACACATTAATTAAAGGATAAAGTAAGAAAACTTGTCCAGCGAGGAAACAAAATCATTTCCACAAAAGACGGACTGAATTCAAACTTTCGAATACTTTAATTTGGTCAAGCTCACACGAAACTCATGTGAGTGAAAGGCCTGAAAGCCTTCGACCTCTGATTTTGATATATACTTAAAACACTTTCTGAGAAACGCCCTAACGCTTGGTTGGTGGATTTCACATCATAACAATTTTAGATTTTTATTGGTGATATGTGATTTTTCTAGTTGGAGCGGCAGAGTTTGCAATTACTCATCAATTTCATCACTATTCACAATATTTTGGACTGCTGAAAAAAAAATCAAATAGTGTATGAATCTATGATTCAGTATGCGATTAAGTGGCACAGCAAATTTTAGCAATAAAAAAAGCCAACACATAAACTTTTGGCTAAGTTATATATATGTTAATTTAGTTGGCAGAAATCATTTTACACAAAATAGTCAAAATTTTGTTAATTATTATACTACTGTACATCACTAGCTAGTCAACTTTTGTTTACATTGGTTGCTATGTTTATTTTGCTAGGATTCTAACTTTGTAACATGTGGCACTACGGGAAAGGTCCATGTATCTCAAACTTCTTGCACATGTGGCAAGCCATCAGCCTCGTGCACTTGCAAAATCAAAATTTAATTAGCATACGTACATACACGGTTTGGTTATTCAACTCCTTTCGCACGTAGCTATTTGATTCACATAAAGCTCTTCTATATTATTGTTCAATGTTTATGTCATAAGTCCGAACCAATGGCTTTTGCTAACTTGGATTTTATAAGATATTATCGTCTTAATTTTAAATATATTTTTAAAATTTTAATTTTAAATATTTAAGTAAGGGACTCTTTTGCGTTGTTCACATTAGTTTCAACAAAGGAGAAAGATTTAATTAACGTGGGAATGATTATTTTCCAAATGCATGGCTTAAATTATAATAATAATTATAATAATGGCTAGTACTGAATCATATATATATATGGTCATGAATGTACATTTTTCTTTTTTTTCTATCTTCTACATATTATTTAATTTGGACAACTCATAATACCATTTACGCAAGTATGTAATATATAATCGTTGTAAAAAGTTTTTCATATAGTTCGGACACGCCACTCATTTTCGATCAATCCTTATATAAATCGTAAATCCTCTCGTTTATACATAAACTATATTTGAATTGAAAATTGCATTGTATATATATTGGAAAAACCATTCATGCATACCGTATATGTCTTTCTCAAGAAAATAAAATAAAGGGATCATACATATGTCCAATATAATCGTTTCACCTAATAAACTTACCACGCGAAAATGTTTCTACATTCCATAACAACAAAACAAAACCATACTCTCAAAAAATGAAGTTACACGTTTTCCTCAAAAATCAAACATAAATCACACTCTCTTACGTGGCTGCATACGTGTATATACATTCATTGATGAGACTTGAGAGAGAGTATCCATATATTTGTGTTTATGCTTGCATATATATAAGTACTCTCCTCCCTTAAGAAACCACAATAGTCCTCCTCATCCAAAATCCAAAATCCAAAAATTTCTTGCTAATTCTCAAACTCCCAAATGGATTACAAACTCCTACTTACACCTCCCAAATGTTTATACACCAAATATATTATAACATTTGTATACTTTCTATCAATCTCTCATCACAATGCCCATTTCATAACTTCATGCAAACAAACACCATACCCTAGCGTCTGTGCCCACCACATGTCTAGCTATTCAACTCTCAAAACTTTAGACGACCAAGCCGGTGGGATCACTTTTCACGACCTTGTGGTTAGCTCCACCATGGACCAAGCCGTGCAACTCCACCGCCTCGCCTCTACGGTGAAACGGCGTCATTCTCTTCACAAACACGCCACGTCAGCTTTGCTCGACTGCTTGGAGCTCTACGAAGACACCATAGACCAGCTCAACCACTCTCGGAGATCGTACGGTCAAGACTTTTCGGCGCATGATAGACAAACCTCGCTAAGCGCCGCCATAGCTAATCAAGACACATGCAGAAACGGATTTAAAGATTTTCATCTTACCTCTTCATATTCAAAATACTTCCCCATACACATTCACCGAAATCTCACTAAATCAATAAGCAACTCTTTGGCGGTCTCTAAGGCTGCAGCTGCGGCTGAGGCGGTTGCCGAGAAATATCCCGCGACGGCGTTCACAAAGTTTAGCAAACAAGTAAGTCGAGCCGGAGGTGGTGGTGGTGGTCGGAGATTGATGTTTTCGGATGAGAAGTTTCCTTCGTGGATACCTCATTCGGACCGAAAACTTCTGGAAGATTCGGAAACTAAGACCAAAGCCGATCTTGTGGTGGCTAAAGACGGTTCGGGTCGTTACACAAGTATTCAAGAAGCGGTAAACGCAGCAGCGAAATTTCCTCGGAGTAACAAGAGACTTGTGATATACGTTAAATCCGGCGTTTACCGAGAAAACGTGGAGATTAAGAAATCGATCAAGAACGTCATGGTTATCGGAGACGGCATCGATTCTACCATCGTCACCGGAAATAGGAACGTTAAAGATGGCACGACGACGTTTCGATCCGCAACTTTTGGTACGTCGTCCGTGCTGTATAGTGTATATGGTTGAGAAATGTCAAAAAATACTTTATAAAAGCAGTATTTAAAACTATTTTAATTGTTTATACATTTATACATAGTTATAATTTAATATAATAATTACTATAAATAGTTATAATTTTATCCTATTATAATCAGATTCATTTTTAATTATAAAAAGATTACTTTGATATGATAGCTAAATTCATTCCTCTGGATAGTAGTTAATATATTAGGCTATGACTATTTCACACAAATATTATTTCAAATTTTATTCTAACACAATTTCAATTTTTGTTATTAACGTCTAAACACATATATCTATTCAAATATCACTTTTAGACTATTATTTAACAAAATATTATTTTTAAACCCGCCAACGTACAGCTGTTTCCGGCAGCGGTTTTATCGCACGAGGCATAACATTCGAGAACACGGCGGGACCGCAGAAGCATCAGGCGGTGGCTCTCCGATCAGGCTCAGATTTCGCTGTCTTCTACGACTGTTCTTTCAAAGGCTATCAAGACACTCTCTACCTTCACTCTCGCCGTCAGTTCTTGAGAAACTGCAACATATACGGCACCGTCGATTTCATCTTCGGTGACGCAACCGCTATGCTCCAAAACTGCAACATCTACGCTCGTAAACCCATGAGCGGCCAGAAAAACACGATCACGGCTCAATCTCGCAAAGACCCTAACGAGAACACAGGCTTTGTCGTCCAGAGCTCGACTGTGGCAACGGCGTCGGAGACTTACTTAGGACGGCCGTGGAAATCGTATTCGAGGACGGTTTTCATGAAATGTAATCTCGGAAAGCTTTTGAATCCGGCAGGATGGTTGCCTTGGAGCGGTAATTTTGCCTTGAGGACTTTGTATTACGGCGAGTATGCAAATACCGGTGCCGGAGCTAGTGTTTCCGGTAGAGTTAAGTGGCCTGGTTATCATGTTATAAAGACGGAAACGGAGGCCGGGAAATTCACGGTGGAAAATTTCCTGGACGGAAACTATTGGATTACGGCGGCGGGAGTACCAGTCAACGCTGGACTTTGACTTTGTGTTTTGAATTGGGTTGACGTTGTATGTCAGAGTCTTTGATTTTGTTGGCGTGTGATGTTTATATTATTTATAGTTTTGTTGTCCATGTAATGGATTGGATGGATCGTTTTTGAATATACAATAAGAGGGCTTTGGCTTTGGCTGGAGGATTTGCTATACATATATTTATGTTATAAACTTTTAATGTTGAAATTGCAAGTGCCATTAATTTATTGTACAATAGAGACTAACTTGTATAGATTGAATTAGTCTCTTTGTGTGTTTTGAGATTGATCAAGTCAAGGTGATAATACTAAATTAATCTATAATTCGAAAGTAGTGAATGTAAGTTTAAATTTGAAAAGTGTTGTTATCCAACTATACAAAGTTACAAACGTCTCCACTCCATCTTCTACCCTTCTTTCATAAACTCAAAAACGATTTTCTCATACTTAAATGTTAATCCAAATTTAAATGTTTAGAAAACCTAGTAAATATTTGTTCAAACCCTATTTTTTTACTCAAAAACTTGTCAGAATATAATCATAAAAATGATTTTCGAGAAAAAAATTCCAACAGAGTTTGCACAAAAAGAGTGATTAACCATTTATGACAGATTTTCGGCAAGACACTTGATGTGGTTATAATAGTTTTTTTAAGATCAAAAGTCACTAGTAAGCATTTTCTTTGATTTTAGGTACACTAAGTCGCAATTTGACGGCCAAAATGAATTTCAACATAAGTTTTGTAATCTCTTTCTGATAAAAAATATTAATTTTGGAATAAAATGCCGTCAGATTAAAAATCACACTAGTCTTAGCTTCAGATTAAAAATCACACTAGTCTTAGCTTCTACTCTTCTCTGCTGCGTGTGGATTTTTAAGAGAAATTAACGTTTGGCCTAATTCATTTCAGATCAAGAGCGGTCATATTTCTCTATACGAATGTTATGCATGTAAGTAAATTTAAGGGTAAATGGATGTGTATGTTTGTATGTTTTGTGTCTGTTACATCCTCCGATCTAGATTTAAATAACTCTGTTTCCACAAGATTGCCACGATAAAATTTATGGCTATTTGTCACGAATATTCAAACTGTATGTGTATCTATTTAACCACAATTTGCCACTAATTAAACCAAGCTATTATCCACAAATATCTACAAATTATATTGTAGCTGATAGACACAAATAGTAGCTACAAATAGCTACAAAATCCTTATGACTAATTGCTATTAGAATTTAGAAGTGGGCATATTAAACCAAACCCAAAAATTCAAACCGAACCAATCCGAAAAATTGGTTCGGATCGGGTTTGGTACTACTTTAATACCGAATGGATTTTAAGCAAATTGTTGGTTGGGTACGGTTCAGTTCGGATATAACTGATATCAGTCGGGTATCTGAAACAAATCAAGCATTACTCGGTTTTTTTAGTTCTCGAGAGTATCCAATAGAAACTTTCTATTTCGATAATCAAATTTCCTATTCTCTATCTAATATTCTCGGATTCAATACTTTTCTTTTAATTGTATACCCTAATTTCTAAATCCTAAAATTCAAATTAGAATCCTCAAATTTTCAATTCTCACGTTCCTGGGACATCTAGAAATCGATCTCAGATACTTCATCTTTTTTTACTTATTTTTTTCTTCTGATTTGTATTTTTTTAGTTATCTTCTCATTTTGAATATGATCGTTTGTGGGCTGATTTGATATCAGCTCTCCAAATTTTCTATTTTGATTTTGTTATTGTTAGTTTATACTATTGTACAATGGTTTTTATGACTACCCTAAATAGCTACAAGAGTATGTAAAATTACAATTAAAAGTTATGAATCTATAACTAGACATGCAAGAATAAAATTGCTACAATGCACATTAAAATTTATCAGGTATTAATTTATAAAAGTTTTATTGTATATGATTTTTCAATTTTTTTTTCTGTTTATCGAATATTAATTTATAAAAGTTTTAATGTAATTAGTTTCTCTAATTTTCTCTGTTCTCTGCCAAGTGTTGAAATTATATCAAATTAGCTTGCTAAGACTTGGAAAATACTCGAATTTAGTTTGCTCCATAAGAAAGCAAAAGAGAAGAACTGGAATCAATTATTTCACCGATTTATAATTTGGGCTTTGAAGCCCCTAAAATGATCCAATCCAGTCTATCTTTGGTCTTAGCCCGTTCATGAATTATGATAACAAAGGATATTAAAATTATTGTGTAACTGATTTGACGTAAATTATGACAAAAACAAAACGTGTCGATGTTTCACAATATATATAGAATTCAAATGATGAAGTGGTGAACTAACCCTTCATTACTTAGAAAGATATAAAAATTATATGGGAATGTTCTTTTGCGTGGTGTTAGTGACTGCAACCGTGTTATTAACGAGCCGCTGGAATATCAGATGACAGTTTACAAACAAAAATCAAATCAAAGTGGACATTTGTGATTTACATACTCTTAACTTGAGAGAGAACTGTTGCATAATTGAAATGTGACTTAACATATCCTAGTTTACATTTTTCATAAATTTTTTTTTTTTTTTTTGTAATTTGCGATGAAACTACATCTTTTGATATACAAATTAATTAGGTTTAAAGATTCTTGTGTGTATATGTAACCTTGAGGAATGATGAATAAACAACATATCTTACAAGGCTGTACAGTGAAACACACTGCAGTTTAAAATTTGTTTTGACATTAAACATTATGAATTAATGGACAAGACATTAAGGCTGGCGATTGACTTTTAATTTCGCAAGAGTTAGAGAGAAAAAAACATGTTCAGAAGATGAACACGTGTCAAACAATAAGCAATAAATTACAGGTAGACCCAACAGAGATGGACCCTTGAGATTGTGACAAGAAACCATAGGACTGTTGTTTCAGTGCGTCTCGTGAATCCTCTCTTCCCCAATTTTGATACTTACTTGCTTTTTTGTGGGTTTCTCCTCCTTTTTTTCCCATCCTTAGTAAATACTACGACGACATTTTGACTTCTTTAAACCATTCAAAATTTCATGATCAACAATAATCTATAGAAATCTCATGTTTCTTTATGGAAAACCTCATGAACCAATATTATCTTATTGTTTCATTTTCTTTTTGGAAAGGAAATTAAATGGAAAGTTCTTATAGTTAACTAATTTGTATATTTGATTTTAAATGATTACCATTTAGAATCTTTGAAAATTGTATTACCATCGTGATATTTTAAAGGACCTTGATGGCGTCTTCTACCAAACCAAACATTTATTTTAAGTGACTTATCGAATTGTTTAGTTAGATATATATATATATATATATATGACTACTTTACAAGGGACGATGTAACTTATGTGATTGTACAATGTACAATAGATTAATCATTATCTTATATATTGGAAACGCATGAGGCGTATAAGTCGGCAAGTGTGACAGAGTTTCTATTATGTCCTTTGTGTGCTATAACGACAAAGAAATGGGATTGTGGTCAATTTCAAAGGGGTCACGGGTTCTTATTTCTTTAACATATACTTCCAACCCATTAATAAATATTTTGTGTTATTAACTTGGCTTTTCTACACTGAATTTTGTTTTATGGAACTCGACCAAACATAGGTTTTATACTATATGGACGGATAAACCAGTTAATTAAAAAAAAAAAAGTGTTGACGGGATCTAAACGATTGCCTGATAACAACTAAACTATCGATTCGTAGGTGTTAGGAGTCCCACATGCATGAGACTATACATCAGTATAATTCATTAATTTATAATCGATTATGAGTTTGAGTCTCACAAACTTTGATACTAGGTCCATGATGATCTATAAGCATTTACGGTTGGTGTATCAAAATTATCATATTTATACGAATCTACGTTTGGTAAACCAAACACTATACTTTATAATTTATATTCCAGCACTTGGAACTATATACTATTAAATATATACACGGCGGTAGTGACACACACATATTGCAACCCATTGAATTAGCTCTATAG